TATTTTTTCTTCGAATATGGAATCCAGAAATGTTCCTGTGTATTTCACACTTTTGCTAAGATACCTTGCTGCTTATAGGAGGTTGGACTGTATTTGTGAAGTGGATGAATAAATACTGAGAGTTATGAGGCTATATTTTTAAATGAAATGTGTTAAGATCTTAAGTTCTACTTATACTCTCAAAAGTGACATGGCTATGGTAGTCGCCAGTTCTAGATATTTTGTGCACGTGTACATTTTAAAAATTATTAGTACCTTTTTTAAGTTTGTGCAGTTGTTAATGTAATTTCATTCTTGAACGTAGTTTACAAAACTTAGGCAACATCTCCAGAATATTTCTTGGCAGAATATATTCCCTAAATTCAGGGACTGAGATATTTGTGTATTGTTACAGGCGTCCAAAAAAGTACAAGTCTTTTCTATGAGTATAATTGTCACTGAATGCAAATTCCATTTGCATTCAAAATTTTATTTTAAACAAATCAGAGCTAAATCAAATATACACCCCAATCGGGCAAAACTAGGTTGAGTTTAGATTATGTTGGCTTTTTGATTGAACAGAATGAACTAAAACTCTTTATAGACTAACTAGGAGGTTTGTTGCTAGTGGATCTGCCAGGCTGGTACCCAAAGTCTGCTTTGTTGTTTATACCTAAAGATCTGTGTCAATGTTTCTATCTAAGACATGTTTCCTGAGGAAATTACAAACAACCATCTGAATACTAAAGGAAGCCTAAAAGAATTACAGAAAATCTTTTAGTGTGTCAAGATCATTACTTCTTCATAACTCTACCTAAGGGCAGGGTGAGCGTCCCAGTAGACCTTTTCCCTCTAACCGTATAACCACTGGAAGACTTGGAAAATCGTCTTCCAAAGTGTCCTGGCTGAAATGGGTGATGCAGAGGCTGACACCAGTAGTTTACAGATTAATTAACTGCAAACCCATTTCCCCAAAGCATGGAGTGCATTTGGTATAAGTTAATATCATGCTTCCTAGAAGGCTGCCTGGCCTGAAGGTTGCTACAAGTGGCCACAGACATGTTTCCCAAGTGTTTCTATTAGTGACATAGTCAGTTCTCTCATGGACCAGAAGGTTTTCTTCAACAAAAACAGTTAAAGCAGAAAGAAAATTTTGCTGCTGAGTATAATGCCTAATGAAATTGCTTTTACTGTGAATTGGAGACAATAATTATTATTTGGATCAAAGTCCCCAGATTATAAGAACAACATTTTCCTCCTGAGTTTGGACATATAGTACTAGGAGTTAAATGAGAAAGGAAATGTTTGCAAAACTGCTCCATTTAAAAAAATCTATAGCTTTTCAAGTGTGCTGTAAAGAGGACAGACGCCCTGTTCATTGAAATACAATGAGGAAATTGCATTTGTTGCAGTAAGGCAACACCTCACTGTAACTGCAGAATAAATACATAATTAGTAAAAAACCATCACATCAGTGTGTTACATCCGACTGCAAAGTTGATTTTCATTTTGTTGAGAGGTTCTATAGAAATTTAGGTCCATGTCTGTATCTGCTACCACTGCAATTATAAATCATAATAATAATATGCAAACTAAAGTCAAGTAACAGCTTTTTAACACATTATTTCTAACATTGCAAACAAAGCAAAAGTGAAAAGGGTTAGAAAAACCTTTCATTTTGCTTGTTAACTACACCATTCAAGACTTTTGATATATAAACTGACATTACTGAGTTATCCCTAAACGTAACTGGGATCTATAACGTTTGAGGGAGCTTCGTTGAAAGTTTTTTGCATCACAAGTTCTTTAGATTGTAAAGGTATATTGTAACCCAGTCATACAGCTAAGGCAGCATATAGTATGGATTTCCTCTTTACTACTGTTTGTTGTATAAGCAAATGAGAGAAAGCTCATTTATTTAAATTTGCTTTGCCACATTGCTTTGTGCAATGGAATTTGCTTGAAAGCCACAAGTCTTTAATACTGGTAGATTTGCCAACACTTTTATCATATAATCCATCTGATTTATAGGAAATTTATGTTTACATTGGAGGCCTCATCAGTGTGATGGCAGCATAGGGTTTGCAACTGGTACTGTTACTGAAATGCGAGATCAACACTCTCCAAGACCAATGTGTAGGTTTCAGAAAGCAAGGCATTCTTTATTGCAGCGCTGGGCGCACACGCGAATCATTTCGCAAAGGTGAGCGCTTTTTGGTCGGATGGTTACACCTCTATAGACCTTTCCCATTATACATTCATCATCTTTCCCTGAAAAGTTGGTGTTACTCTAATGGTTTCCCAGAAATGTTTTACATAGGTTCCTTCCCCCTTGTGCACACTCTATCAAGCAGAACTAAATGGGCTGGTGGTCTTTCAAGGGTCCCTAGTGGTTGTCCATAGTCTTCCTCACTATGTCCTCTAGTTGAATCCTCCCTCTAGAGCACAAGCCAGGGCCCCTTTTCTGATGCAACCTCTTCTAACAATCAGTCGTGTAGAGGTTTGCTAGGCGTCTCCTTGGCATCCCCTTAACATCTGGCGTGTGTAGATAGATTGTCCCCTTGATATCCTGAGTTTTGTTCTCCTTGATGTCTATCAGGTATGTATAGATAGCTTTGAGAGAGCTCCTGCTGTTCCTGGGTTCCTGCAGTTTCCACACGTTCCTCTTTCATCGTCAAACAGGCAATGCAGAGTTTCACGACCCAAAGTTTCACATAGTTTCACACCCCCTAATTCAAATGTTAGCAAAACCAAAATTCATACAAAAGTGGAAAACTTCATCGGTACAACCATTAGTGACTAAGAACAAAAATAGGGAATGCTGCGAAGTGGACCTCAGTATCACAGAGGGTGAAACTCCAGTTACTGAGGTGAGCAGAGTAGTGAGTGAAATAAGACATATTTGGAATGAAATTGTGAAAAAAATAATGAATTTCTAGTTAGATGACAAGAATTTGGAGAGATGTGCTGAACTTACCTCCACACTCAAAGAAGGGCAAGGCCCTCTGCTGTGGTATCAACTCTGATTTCCACATAGTCAGAGTTTGTTCATGGGGAAATCCTGCTCCTGGATAGAGATACCCCCACCTCCATGGGCTTCCCCTGGAATTCAGTGCTTTGATGTAGACGTGCACGCTTGTGGCCTAGAAAGCCCATCGTGTCCTGTGCTGCATAAAACACAGCCTGGAAAGCAGGTCGAGGGAGGGGATTCTTCCCTTCTACTCTGCTCTCTTGAGACCCCACCTGGAGTGTTGCATCCAGCTCTGGGGTCCCCAACACAAGACAGACATGGACCTTTTGGAGCAGGTCCAGAGCAGGGCCACAAAAATGATCAGAGGGCTGGAGCACCTCACCCATGAAGAAAGGCTGAGAGAGTTGGGGTTTTTCAGCCTGAGGAAAAGCAGGCTCTGGGGAGACCTTACTGCAGCCTGGCAATATAGAAAAATGGAAACATGCTTTTTACCAAGGCAGGCAAAAAAGACAGGTGTCAGGCCAAGGGGTAATGGTTTTAAACTAAAAGAGAGTAGATTTAGATTGGACATAAGGAAGACATTTTTTGTAACAAGGGTGATGAAACATTGAAACATATTGCCCAGAGAAGTTGTGGATGCCTCATCCCTGGAAGTGTTCAATGTCAGGTTGGATGGGGCTTTGAGCAACCTGGTCTAGAGGAAGGTGTCCCTGCCCACAGCAGGGGGGTTGAACTAGATGATCTTCGATTGTGTTTTCCAATCCAAACTGGTTTATGATTGCAGTCTTCTGACACACACATATGTAGGGGAGTCTATTCCGGAAACTAAATACAGAAGACTTGCGCATGTTAAAACACAGTTTTTATATCACAGTTCTTCAATAAGAGAAGCATAAATGCCAGGACATACGTAGCTGCAGCTAATGATCAATAACACAGCATAATGCAAACATTACAGCTCTAAATGTATCCACTTGCAGACAAACCCCTTAGGCACAGATACCATCACCGTATCAGACTAGTCTGGTACTCCAGCTCACTTCCTTTCTGTTTCTCTGCACAAATAATCTCTGATCTCCCACTTTGGCCATGATACAGTCCTACCTAAAAAGCCTCTCTGCTACAGCTTGGGGGGTGTGGGGCAGAGAGGCACAGGGTGAAGTGTCTTGCTATAGGTGGTATTTTCCTTCATTTAAGCTCCTTCTTCCCAGGAGATAGGGAAGGCAGAGGTGCTACACAGGTGGGAGCTAAGGCCTCAATGCAGTGTACTACAGACCATCAGGTACAGCTTCTGGGAACATCCTAGCAAGATGGATCACCTAGACAGGCTCTCATAATTTATAGCACTGTATCTAAAGAGCTTTAATATTATGCTCTTGGATGATACTTGTCTAATAGTGTAGATCAGTTCAAGTACTATTGCCCACCATTAACTCATGTACCAAGAGGAATAGCTATGCACAGAGGGATAATTTGAGTGGCAGGTTTTGAAAATCCCACTTAAACCAGGAACATACCAGCACTGCAAGTAGTCTCTCCTGAATGCAAAGATGTGACACTGTTGCTTTACAGTGCAGGTCTGACCAGTTAAAAGATCTAGATGAAAATGAGCCATTTCCCCTAAAGCATTTCTCATTTCTAAATCAAGTTGAGTCACAGAGAAGCTTTGCATTTTTTAAAGAACAAAGGACTAAAAAAGAATCTTTTTCATTCTTAGATGTAGTTATATGGGTTTGTTATGGTCTATTTATTTTCATGCTGCATAGCCTTTTCCACTCCCCCTCTCATATTTCACATCATAAACAGCCTGTAAAGTCACAAAAGCTGAGCAGGTTCAACATTAAGACCAAGCGTTTTACCAATCAAGCTAAAAGACAGACACAGAAGAATCAATAAATCACTAGAATACTAGTATTCTTTCATGAAAAAAACCCACCAGTAAATAGAAAGCAAATGTATTACTACTCAGATAAGAACCAAAAGTTTTAAGACTTTGAATATGGTTTTAGTTCCTGAACAAAAGCAAGGTGTAAGAAACAATTATCATCAAAACAGTTCCGAAAAGAAAAGCAATACAACTCTTTTCTGACTGTGTGGGTGGCTCTGAAAAGAGCCTTTGGGTTGTAATATTTTGTTAAAAGTCTGAGTAGCTTCGTTTGCTGAGCTTATTTGCTTTTAGCCTTATGGCTCTCGGTCTTCTTGGGCAGCAGCACGGCCTGGATGTTGGGCAGCACCCCGCCCTGCGCGATCGTCACCTTGCCCAGCAGCTTGTTGAGCTCCTCGTCGTTGCGGATGGCCAGCTGCAGGTGGCGCGGGATGATGCGCGTCTTCTTGTTGTCGCGGGCCGCGTTGCCCGCCAGCTCCAGGATCTCGGCCGTCAGGTACTCCAGCACGGCCGCCATGTAGACGGGCGCTCCAGACCCCACCCGCTCCGCGTAGTTGCCTTTCCGGAGGAGCCGATGCACGCGGCCCACGGGGAACTGCAGCCCGGCCCGCGACGAGCGCGACTTAGCCTTAGCTCGGACTTTGCCTCCCTGCTTCCCGCGGCCGGACATGCTTTAGGCTCCTGGGGGGAAACACCGCACAACCTCGCCCAAGAACAACCCAGAGAAAATCATACTGACGCAACGCCGCTTCCCATTTTATCCCTTCCCTGGGCGGGATTAGCGCTTGCCGATTGGCTGGAAGGAGTCATTCATTGTACAACCAATTAGAAGACGGATCGTATTGTGACCAATCAGAGGCAAAGATTCGCCCCGTGCTGGAAGGTCCAATCAGATCGCACGAGTTAGAGGTCTGCGATTTGCATAACAGCCCTATAAATAGAGGGCGCTGCGGCCATTTTGGTTGTTTCTCTTGTTCGCAGAAGGGAAGCGATCTCAAAATGCCCGAGCCGGCGAAGTCTGCCCCAGCGCCCAAGAAGGGTTCCAAGAAAGCCGTCACCAAGACGCAGAAGAAGGGCGACAAGAAACGCAAGAGAGCGAGGAAGGAGAGCTACTCGATCTACGTGTACAAGGTGCTGAAGCAGGTGCACCCCGACACGGGCATCTCGTCCAAGGCCATGGGCATCATGAACTCCTTCGTCAACGACATCTTCGAGCGCATCGCCGGCGAGGCCTCGCGCCTGGCGCACTACAACAAGCGCTCCACCATCACCTCGCGGGAGATCCAGACGGCCGTGCGGCTCCTGCTGCCCGGCGAGCTGGCCAAGCACGCCGTCTCCGAGGGCACCAAGGCTGTTACAAAGTACACCAGCTCCAAGTAGAGTGTTTCGGAATTTCTCTTTTAACCCAAAGGCTCTTTTAAGAGCCACCCACTTACTCCGTGAAAAGAGCTTTAACGCGCTGTCGTCACGGTGGTTTTAGGTTTGAAATTGTAAGGAAAAAAAAAAAGGAACTGTAAGTATAATTTGACAAAGATCTATCATAGCAGTCGCTGGCTTGTGGTGATGAATAACCTGTCTCTGGAATCCTTGTGTACTTTGCAGCTTCAAGCAAATTGCAATGTATTATCTTTGTAAGTGTTACCGTTCAAATACTTTTCCAATAAATTAAACTGTGGTTAAGATTTTTTGCGGTAGACACGTGGGATGGAAAATATTGTACTACAATTTCCGTCATAAATAAATTCATATAGTTTCGATAGCTACACTTACACCCGCCTCCAAAAATTAGTATGAGGGGAAAATAAGCGATCCTGACAGCTCTTTTTTTGCATGGCTGTCTCCGAATAGTCTTAACTCTAAAAATTCTTCCTCTGTATAAGACAGGAAGCAGCCTTGTAGATGGGAAGACAAGGACAAGAATAGGAGAAGCGACGACATCTCTGAAAAGGGGTAGGCGCTTTGAGAACACGGGGTTGTCCGTGACTCCCGGACCCACGATCACCAGTAAGCACGGAGCCAGCGCGGGCAGGGCTCCCGGTTCCGGCAGCACCGCCGGCTTTTCGAAATTTTCTAATCGCCCGAATGAGCAGCTGCGGCTTCTCCCA